AGGGCTTGCGATGTCACTCTTTGGAGCAAAAAATGAACCCAAAATCTTAGGGACCAGGGCTTGCGATGTTACTCTTTGGAGCAAAAACTGGGCCCCAAATCTTAGGGGAGCAAAAATTGAACCCAAAATCTTAGGGACCAGGACTTGCGATGTCACTCTTTGGAGCAAAAACTGGGCCCCCAATCTTAGGGACCAGAGCTTGCGATGTCACTCTTTGGAGCAAAAATTGAACCCAAAATCTTAGGGACCAGGGCTTGCGATTTGACTCTTCGGAGCAAAAACTGGGCCCCAAATCTTAGGGGCCAGGGCTTGCGATGTTACTCTTTGGAGCAAAGATTGAACCCAAAATCTTAGGGACCAGGGCTTGCGATTTGACCCTTTGGAGCAAAAACTGGGCCCAAAATCTTAGGGACCAGGGCTTGCGATATGACTCTTTGGAGCAACTGGGCCCAAGATCTTAGGGACCAGGGCTTGCGATGTCACTCTTTTGGGCAAGAAAATGAGCCCAAAATCTTAGGGAGCAGGGCTTGCGATTTGACCCTTTGGAGCAAAAACTGTGCCCCAAATCTTAGGGACCAGGGCTTGCGGTTTGACTCTGTGGAGCAAAAATTGAACCCGAAATCTTCGGGACCAGGGCTTGCGATTTGACTCTTCGGGGCAAGAAATGAGCCCAAAATCTTAAGGACCAGGGCTTGCTTTGGAGCAAAAAACTGAGTCCAAAATCTTAGGGACCAGGGCTTGCGATTTGACTCTTTGGAGCAAAAACTGGGCCCCAAATAATAGGGACCAGGGCTTGCGATGTTACTCTTTGGGGCAAGAAATGAGCCCGAAATCTTAGGGACCAGGGCTTGCGATGTTACTCTTTGGGGCAAGAAATGAGCTCAAAATCTTAGGGACCAGGGCTTGCGACGTCACTTTTTGGAGCAAAAACTGTGCCCTAGTATTGGGGGGAGGAGGGCTCGTGATTTAGTATTGGGAGGAGGCCCGGGCTCGCAAAAGAGTATTGGGGGGAGGCCCGGGCTCGTGATTTAGTATTGCGGGAGGCCCGGGCTCGTGATTTAGTATTGGGGGGAGGCCCGGGCTCGTGATTTAGTATTGGGGGGAGGCCCGGCCTCGTAATTTGGAGGCCGGGCTCGTGATTTAGCCCGGGCTCGTGATTTAGTATTGGGGGGAGGCCCGGGCTCGTGATTTAGTATTGGGGGGAGGCCCGGCCTCGTAATTTGGAGGCACGGGCTCGTGATTTAGCCCGGGCTCGTGATTTAGTATTGGGGGGAGGCCCGGGCTCGTGATTTAGTATTGCGGGAAGGCCCGGGCTCGTAATTTAGTATTGGGGGGAGGCCCGGGCTCGTGATGTAGTATTGGGGGGAGGCCCGGGCTCGTGGTTTAGTATTGGGGGGAGGAGGATGCCCCAGCCCCCACCCCCCATTTGGAAATAGATGAATTAATTGAATTAATTGAAATAGTTGAATTAATTCAATTAATTCAATTAATTGATTTATTTCCAAAGGGGAGGTGCAAATTAATTGAATTAATTGAATTAATTCAGTTATTTCAATTAATTCAAGTAATTCATTTATTTCCAAATGGGGGGGATTCCCCAGCCCCCACCCCCCCCCCTTGGAAATAAATGAATTAGTTGAATTAATTGAATTAATTGAATTAATTCAATTAATTCAATTAATTCAATTAATTCATTTATTTCCAAAGGGGAGGTGGAATTAATTGAATTAATTGAATTAATTAAATGATTTTTATTAATTCAATTAATTCAATTAATTCAATTAATTCAATTAATTCAATTAATTCAATTAATTCAATTAATTCAATTAATTCAATTAATTCATTTATTTCCAAATGGGGGGGATTCCCCAGCCCCCACCCCCCCGCTTTGGAAATAAATGAATTAATTGAATTAATTGAATGAATTCAATTAATTCAATTAATTCAATTAATTCAATTAATTCAATTAATTCAATTAATTCATGTATTTCCAAAGGGGGGGTGGAATTAATTGAATTAACTGAATTAATTCAATTATTTCAATTAATTCAATTAATTCAATTAATTCATTTATTTCCAAAGGGGGGGGAGGGGTGGGGGCTGGTGAATCCCCCCATTTGGAAATAATTGAATTAATTGAATTAATTGAATTAATTGAATTAATTGAATCAATTCAATTCATTCAATTAATTCAATTAATTCCACCCCCCCCTTTGGAAATAAATGAATTAATTGAACTAATTCAATTAATTCAATTAATTCAATTAATTCAATTAATTCAATTAATTCAATTAATTCATTGATTTCCAAAGGGGGGGGGGTGGGGGCTGGGGAATCCCCCCCATTTGGAAATGAATGAACTAATTGAACGAAACTATTTAAACTATCGCGGCTCGATTTGGCCAAATTTTGCCGGGCAGCCTGCGGGCAAAATTTGGCCAAATCGGGCTGCTCTTCGTATGCCATGAGAAATGCGCGGCTCGATTTGGCCAAATTTTGCCCGGAGGCTGCCCGGCAAAATTTGGCCAAATCGAGCCGCGCATTTCTCAGCGCGTACGACGAGCAGCCCGATTTTTCCAAATTTTGCCCGCAGACTGCCCGGCAAAATTTGGCCAAATCGAGCCGCGATAGTTTAAATAATTTCGGGCCTCCAGAAAGGCGCGGCTCGATTTGGCCAGATTTTGCCGGGCAGTCTGCGGGCAAAATTTGGCCAAATCGGGCTGCTCGTCGAACGCGATGAGAAATGCGCGGCTCGATTTGGCCAAATTTTGCCGGGCAGCCTCCGGGCAAAATTTGGCCAAATCGAGCCGCGCCTTTCTGAAGCCCGAAATTTTTAAACTATCGCGGCTCGATTTGGCCAAATTTTGCCGGGCAGCTTCCGGGCAAAATTTGGCCAAATCGGGCTGCCCTTCGTATGCGATGAGAAATGCGTGGCTCGATTTGGCCAAATTTTGCCCGAAGGCTGCCCGGCAAAATTTGGCCAAATCGAGCCGCGATAGTTTAAATAATTTCGGGCCTCCAGAAAGGCGCGGCTCGATTTGGCCAAATTTTGCCGGGCAGCCCCCGGGCAAAATTTGGCCAAATCGAGCTGGGGGGGTGGGGTCTGGGGAATCCCCCCCATTTGGAAATAAATGAATTAATTGAATTAATTGAATTAATTCAATTGATTCAATTAATTCATTTATTTCCAAAGGGGGGGGAGGGGTGGGGGCTGGGGAATCCCCCCATTTGGAAATAAATGAATTAATTGAATTAATTGAATTAATCGAAATAATTCAACTAATTCAATTAATTCAATTAATTCAATTAATTCATTTATTTCCAAAGGGGAGGTGGAATTAATTGAATTAATTGAATTAATTCCAATTAATTCCAATTAATTCAATTAATTCAATTAATTCAATTAATTCAATTAATTCAATTAATTCATTTATTTCCAAAGGGGGGGGTTCAATTAATTCAATTAATTCAATTAATTCAATTAATTCAATTAATTCAATCAATTCAACTAATTCAATTAATTCCACCCCCCCTTTGGAAATAAATGAATTAATTGACTTAATTGATTAAATTCATTAAATTCCAGGGGGGAAAGTGGAAATTAAGGAATTTAATGAATTAAATTCTGTCTGTGCAACCCTACAGGACCTAAAATAGGGTCTATTTGGAACATGGCTCTTGTGAATAAGTATACGTTTTGGGGCCTGTTTTCCTCTTGTAAATACGATTCCCAGCTTCCAAATAGACCCTATTTAAGCTGCACAACCCCCCCCCCCCCTCCCCCCCCCCCCCCCCCCCCCCCCCCCCCTGGAGCCCCGCAAAAAAGTCGATTCAAGATGGCTTCCAAAGAATAAGTTCCCGAATGACCGCGCCTGTTTTTGAGGCCCCTGAAGCCCCTCAAACGACTCAAGAACTCAAGATGGCTTCCAAAGAATAAGTTCCCGAATGGAAACATGTGGTTAACAAATCCATTCTGTTGACCACGTTGGTTTTCTTGTCCGCTCGAAACAGAAACATGTGGTTGACAAATCCATTCTGTTGACCACGTTTGGTTTTCTTGTCCGCTTGAAACAAACACATGTGGTTAACAAATCCATTCTGTTGACCACGTGCCTAGAGAAGAAGGAGGTTGGATATTTTTCCTAATGGTGTGGGACCCAATGGGCGGGTGGGTATTCCCCTGTGGCCTTGAAAGCTGCTCAACTAGTGAATGCTTGGACCAGAGATGCTGAACCCTAAACCCTAAACCCTAAACCCTAAACCCTGAACCCTGAACCCTAAACCCTCCTCAACCCTAAACCCTAAACTCTCTAAACCCTGTGCTATGCCGGCCCCTGGTGAGTCATGAGGAGCGTTTTGGTCCCGCCCCGCGCTTCTTCTTCTACCGGCACCCGTCAGATCTGACACTGGAGGAAAACTTCGTTCAGCGTTTGTAGGGTTCAAGGCTTGGGGTTTAGGGTACAGGGTTTGGGGTTTAGGGGGTTTAGGGCTTCGGGCTTAGGGTTTGTGAGTGGTTTAAGAACCCCAAACCCTAAACCCTAAACCCCAAACCCTAAACCCTAAACCCCTTGTAGGGTTTGGGGCTTACGAGGTTTAGGTTTCCTGGAGGAAGACTTCGCTCATGTGGCTGGAGCTCTCGAAGTTGCTCGCACTTTGGGACGCCGGTTGATCCTTCCCAACAACATGAACTGCCGAAACGCGGTCGCCCAAAGGTACCCTTTTCCCTTTTGTTTTTGGTTCAAGGTTCCATTACAAAGTAACCAATCCAAGAAAGGGGTACCCTTATTCTGATGCATGGTTACTGGGCTACCGAGGAAATTGCCCAGCATATGAGGCTCGCCTGGCGAAGAGAGGGTCATCAAAGTCCCTAAGCTCTGGACCCTGAACCATAAGCCATTAGCCCTTTCCTGAGGCCGAAACCTTTAAAAAACTCTAGACCTACACCCTCAACCCTAATCTCTCAACCATACACCCTGAATAGCTTTCGCAATTGCCTGAAGGCGTATGGACTCAATGCCAGCCTGGGCGGCACCTGCACTTTGGACTACTTCGCCTACATGTTCCGTTTCTATCATGTGCATTCATCAGAGGTGGTTCCCGCCGGCACGAGTGCAGAGTCGCCGTTTGAAGAGCTGTGGGGTAAGCCTCTGAAGCTTGCAGTTCACGCTGCGGATGCGGCAGACACGATTTCACGGAATGATGCGCCTTCAATCTTTTTCCCGGGTGATGTACTTGCCCTTCGAGAAGCTCTTCTCAAGAAAGGTATCCTGCAGAGGAGCCGGGTAGCCCCTGAAAGCCCCTGAGGTTTGACTAAGGTTTTAGGGTTTAGGGTTTAGGGTTTAGGGTTTCGGGCACGAAGCAAATGGGAACTTGAGAGGAATGCCTGCAGCTACCACGAATGGCCTCATCGCTTCATGGCAGCTCACCATGAAACGGGCAGGTTGTGAAGTCCAGAGCACCCGGCTCTATGCCCCCGTATACAGGCGCCTCAATAAACGACACTATCCCCTTACAATCCACGTTCCCAAACACACTCATCTGAGTTGAACAGGCCCTAAATGTAGCCCACTCAGTTCAATCATGTTTGGATGTCACCGTCCTTCCTGGTGCCCTGAAATCCAACCCCCTAAGCCCTTAAAGCCTAAACCCTAACCCTAAACCCTAAACCCTAAACTCTAAACCCTAAACACTAAACCCTAAACCCTAAACCCTAAACCCTAAACCCTAAACCCTAAACCCTAAACCCTAAACCCTAAACCCTAAACCCATCCAAGGCTTGCCGCGATGAAGCCTTCGTTCGGCACCGCGATGGGCCCTGCCAGTCAGCAAACCAATCTGGACGCTAGGTAGGGTTTAGGGTTTAGGGTTTGGGGTTTTGGGTTTAGAGTTTAGGGTTTGGGGTTTTGGGGTTTTGGGTTTTGCGGTTTTGGGGTTTTGGGGTTTTGGGGTTTAGGGTTCCGGGGTTTAGGACGTGCCAAACAGAAGCGCTTTCGGACTTAGGTACTAAACATGTATTCATGGTGTTGTTGTTGCTTTGCCTTTGGGTGACGACCCTATTCAGAAGCTTGTTCGATGGATTAGGGACCATACGGTCTAAACCTCTAAACCCTAAGCCCTAATCCCTAAACCCCAAACCCTAAACCCTAAACCCTAAACCCTAAACCCGCCGAGGATGTGGCGCGGAAGGGTTTCTATGCTGCTGGTCACACCATGGCCGTGCTGACCGCTTGGAGCATCTGGACTTTGCAACTCCAAAAACCCCCAAAACACTCCCAAACCCCCCCGAACAACCCCCTAACAGCCCTCTAAACCCCCAAAACCCCCCAAAGCCCCCTAAATCCCCCTAAAACCTCTAAAAACACCCTAAACCCCCCCGAATTCCCCCTCAACACCCCTCTAACACCCCCCAACAAGCAGCCTAAGAGCCTAAACCCGTACCCCAAACACGCTGGAACCCCAAAACCCTGAACGTGGGTCTCTTGCCTTTTAGTTTTTCGTGTGCCGGAACTTACAGGTACTACACCGGCGTGCCCTGGGACCTGCCGTGCGATTGCGGGCTCACGTGTCCCGCTGCGCCATCCCCTAACCCTGGGGTGCGTTGTTGCGGCAGTGGCGCTGGTGTGGCTCAGTGTACATGGGCGGCTGAAGCCAATCCTGTCCCTCCTGCGCCGAGCAACCCTGAGAAGGACTTGCTGTCGGAACGGTTGGGGCGTGAGCCGTTGAGAAATGTCACGTGCTTTGTGTGCTTGTGATTGACTTGCGAGGACCTTCCCTTTGCGTCTTCATCAGTACTGGAGTCGTTTGCTGCCGGGAACATGACTGTTGAGCAGGCGCGGGAAGGGCCAGGGCACTGCGATTTCAACGCAGAGGTAGTCGCACATCAGTTTGGTCACAGAGCCTCGCCAGAGCTTCAACGCAGGTCTTGCAGACTTGCTTGGCCCACCGCACCGTGTACTTCATCGTTCGCGAGCCTTTGGAGGGGGTGCCCGAAGCAGACTGCAACGCCTTGGTCAGTGCCTTTGTGATCGGCCACAAGCAGTGGAGCGCAGCAAGAAGCTGGTGGATGCTTGGCAGGGGGCATGAAGGTTGATTCAGCAGGCTTGACTTTACACTCCTATAAGGAATGCAGGGGTAGTTATGCTGGCTGCTATACTAAGAAAAGAAAAGGATTATGCCACCATAAATTATATGCTTGATAAGCATAACACCAGCTTGGGACGAGTTTGGGCCAGTGCCCCAAGGCGCTTCTCGTTGCAGCTTCGCCGTGCTGGTGCAACAGCGTCGGTCTCCCTGACAAGTGGGGAGCCTGACCAGATGGTCCTCAACTTTGGCAAAGTCACGCACGACGAAGATCAGCTGAGCTGCTTGCCTACAATCTTCGGTTCGGCCGTAATACAGTAAGAGTCTCCGGAAGACGTATGGCGATAATTTTAAGATTGGGGGGCCCTATTCTTCCCCTACCACTTTAGGCCACGAGTACGTAGTACTCGCCAAAGCTGAGTGAACAGGATTTCGGCAAAGAGGCATGTTGCCCAAGTGGTTTGCAGTGAGGCCATCTCACGAAGAGCGTTCCCCAGCTGAGCCAGCACAGGGAGAAAGCAGCTGCCTTGCGCCGCGAATTGGGTCGATATCTCGCAGGCATGGCCCGGACCGGCAACGAGCACGAAGGGGTCATGTAATTCATGCACCGACACATGCCTTCAGCCGAAAACCAGGTCCATGAATGTGTGTGTGTGTGTGTGTTCAGGATGAGGTTGAGCAGTGCCTGTTGCCCCCTTATTCAAAGCGCACAGGCAGCCTGGATCGAACTGCGCTGCTGCAGGCGGCCACGGAGGCAGCCGGCACGCTAAATCGCGCCCTTCATGTCCCAGAAGGCTTCCAGCTGAGCCCGGAACACACGGAGCAGTCGCCAGGCAGGAAGTTCCTAAGGATCCTTCTTAAGAAAGATCCTGCATAAGGGTGGCCCATGCCCGCTGCAAGCTGAGTGCCTCAAGCCTCAAGCAAGGACCAAGCAGACGCTGAAAGTACTGGCCCAGCAGCTCCATGGTCAGTCCCTGATGCAGCCCCAGACGGCGCAACCGGTGCAATGTCGTGGCAGTTTGGCTTCTGAGGCGGATCTGTTGGAGAGACATGTTGCACCCTCTTGGTATAGCGGCCTCCTGAAATGAGTCAGGCTTGTTGGGCTATTCAGGATCGTGCGACTGTGTGGGCGTCTAGGGTAGAAAATTTCGCGCGGCAGCCTTTCCAAATTAATTGCCGGCCTCGCCGTCCCTTTAAAGTTCATGTGACCTCATCCCTCTCAAATTCTGTTCTTACAATCCCGGGACGGTTGAAAGAGGGACAAAATCCGCTTCGACTGTTTTGAGGGGGGGGGGGGGTCATTTCAACTCCTCAACCCCAAAGCCCCTGCATCCCCACCCCACCCCTTAGCCTTCCCACTGCGCAACCCCAGACCCCGAATCCCCTGCTCCGGTGTCCCTAAACCCTAAACCCTAAACCCTAAACCCTAAACCCTAAACCCTAAACCCGACTTGGCAGCTCGTGGAGAAGCTGATCAACTTGCTTCGGTCATCCACGGTGTGGTACCGCGTGCTTGGAGGACTGGCGGCTTGCACTTTGCCAAAATGTTTGGGGTTTAGGGCCTTTAGGCTTTAGGGTTTATAGAAATTGTATAGGGTTTGTGTCCGGAGTTTTGGGGGGGGTTTTGTCGGGTTTTGTGGGGTTTTGGGGGGTTTTGGGGGGTTTTGTTTTTTTAACTTTTTGCTACTTCGCTTTTGTTTTTTTTGGGGGGGACTTGGTTGGGGGGGGCGGGGAGTGGGGGGGGCTTGGAGGCTGGCAGGCTGGGGATAGAAATTGTATAGGGTTTGTGTCCGGGGTTTTGGGGGGTTTTGCCGGATTTTGCCGGGTTTTGTTTTTTGCTTTGGGGCTGGGGCTGGGGCTGGGGCTGCGGCTGCGGCTGCGCTGCGGGTGGTGCTGGGGCCTGCGGCTGGGGCTGGCTGGGGCTGGGGCTGGGGCCTTTGTTGGGGCTGGGGCTGGGTGTTCGGCCTTCTGGGGTGGATTATTGCACGAGCTACTCGAAATGAAACGCATACAATTTCTATTTATCCTGGTCTTGAGGGTTTAGGGTTTAGGGTTTAGGATTGGGGGTGCTACTTGTTCCAGTATATTACATCAGAAGAAGGAGTTTCGATACCCTAACTTTTCACAACCGCACCCTAAACCCCAAACCCCAAACCCCAAACCCCAAACCCCAAACCCCAAACCCCAAACCCCAAACCCCAAACCCCAAACCCCAAACCCCAAACCCCAAACCCTAAACCCTAAACCCTAAACCCTAAACCCTAAACCCTAAACCAAACAGCGGCAATCCGCAACACGAGGAGGGGCCGCTTTGGAAGCTCAGCTTCGCGATGGCTCTTCTGCTGAATAGATCCGTTCTTCTGTAGTGTTTCCGGTTTAGGGTTTAGGGTTCAGGATTTAGGGTTTATAAGGGTTTAGGATTTAGGGTTTAGGGTTTAGGATTTAGGGTTTAATTTTAACGCTACGCGACCCGCCTCGGCCCGGCCCAGCGCATCCGCGTGAGCATGGTGATTCCGCAGCGCCCAAGTCGCCGGACCCCAAGCAATAAGGGTTGGGTTTAGGGTTTAGGGTTCCGGGTTCATGGTTTATGGTTTGGGGTTTAGGGTTGAGGGTTAGTTTAGGATTGAGGGCTTAGGGCTCAAGGTTCACGCTTTGGGGTTTCAGGGTTTTTTTAAGTTTAGGGTTCAAGAGACGGTTCGGCTTGGATTGATCGTAGGGTTGAGCCAGGCCCCTCAGGGGGGGTAGGGGGGGTGGGGGGGGGAAGGGAGGGAAGGGGGGGTTTGTTGAAGGTTCGAGGCTTAAGTGGTTGGGGCTTAAGGTTCAAGGTTTAAGGTTTAGGGTTTAGGTTCAAGCTTAGACTCTTCGGCTCGTGTAATGCATCCCCGACTGTGCTCACACCAGTTGAGCCTCGATCACCAATATTCTGTGAAAAGGGGATGGGGGGGGGGTTGGGAGGGGGGAGGGTGGGGGGGGGGGGGTAGGGTGGGGTGGGGGAAGGGGGGAGGGGGGTTGGGGGGCCCTGCTGGGATGGGGGGCCCTGCTGGGAGGGGCTTCAACTGGTCCTGGCGAACCGTCCGCTTGCGGACCCCGGTTTTCTAGGGGGGTACCCATTTGAGGCAAAAAAAAGGGTCCGGATAGGCTAGTGGTACCCTTTTCCCTTTTTTTGGTTATCGACCCTTAAACCCAATGCCCTAAACCCTAAACCCTAAACCCTAATCGAAGCAGCGCGAACCCAAGGCCTGCACGAGCCACCTTTCCTTGAACTGGGCCTCCTTGCCTCGGAGGCGCTGGGAGGCCCTTTGTTCAGGGGCTAAAAAACCTGCATTCAGGGTTCATGCTGCTGCAGGCCTATTTATGCTTTTTTAGGGTTAGTGTATTTAGGGTTACTTAGTGTTATTTGGGGTTGTTTAGGGCTTTTTGAGGTTATTTACTTGTAGGGTTGTTTGGGGCTAGTTAGGGTTGTTTAGGGTTATTTGGGGTCACTAAGGGTTGTTTCGGGCATTTAGGGCTATTTAGGGTTAGGTAGGGTTGTCTGGGGTATTTAGGGTTAGTTGGGGTTTTTTGCGGTTGCCTTAAAAAGTAAGGCCTCTACCCTACACCGAGGCCTGGCACTCGCAGATGTCAGGGCCCGGACGTACGTAGATGCGAAGCCCAATGCGAGCCTGGGTCTGGAGTGCTTCGCCGCCGATGTCACAGTGGTGCTTCTGCTTGGCCCGGGCAACCTGTGACTTGGATGGAAGTATAGGGTTTAGGGTTTAGGGTTTAGGGTTTAGGGTTTAGGGTTTAGGGTTTAGGGTTTAGGGTTTAGGGTCTGCGGCTCAGGGTTTGCGGCTTAGGGGGAGCCATGAACGCTATAGGGCACTACTGACGTGCAGCAGAAACATGATGGGCGTCCTTCATGCAAGGACTCTACGCTCGGTGGCCGACGACCGCTTACCACCTTGTGATGTCCCGGAGCATCGCGACCTTAATTTTCTCCAGCACATGGACCGGGCGCAATGGTCCACCCGTGATTCAGGACGTTGCAAGGTTTCGCTTGCGGGGCTTGGGGTTTAGGGTCTCCTTGAACGGAGTGCTGCAGGAGTAGAGGCCGGCGGCCTGGCTTTGCTGCCTGCTGGCCAATGGTACGAACTCCTGATTCATTCAAGCAGCGTCGCTTGGCAATGTCGTCCACTTGAGCATTCCTTCCTGGTAAGTGCCCAGTAGCTGGCCCAGTGGATCCTTAAAGTTCTGAACCCTAGGCCCTGAACCCGAAACCCAGTTTGTAGCGATGCATGCTTGGGGAAGAATCGCAGCAACGATAGGGCCTTTGGCTCACTGGTGCCCACCAAGGCAGACTTCGTTGAAAACCCCATGCTTCTTTTCTTCCACTTCGGTTCTGGGCCTGAAAGCCAGAGGCAGGTGATGCGGAGGAAGTCATTCCTGCACGAGCATGATCGCCGCATCCTCAAGTACGATGCAACATAGACGTAGATGCCCAACGGGGGAAACTATGATTGGGCAAGGAGAATGGGATTGATACATGAGATCGTATATTGCCTATGAATCCGAATGATCAGTTGGAAAGATAAGAACAAGCAAAACATCAATCAGACAGGAATGACAAACATATCATTACAAATCATAATCTCTTCCTCCCTATTGGGACAAACGGATTCACGATTTGAGAGGATTTTCATCTTGATAGCTGAAGGAGCAAGATTACTTTCTCTCTTTGCGATTTGGATCATCATTGTTTGATATATCATGATTGAATCATAGATAATATATCTTCAATTTTAGATTCATTTTAATTATTAGAATATGGGAATCCATTTGGATTTTGTGATTGGGATTTAAAAGGGGGATTGATTTTTCTTTATAGCGTATATATTCGATATATGGGGATAGATCTTGTGGAATTCTTGATCATTTCTTTGGGAAATTTGATAGATAAGATAATTGGATG